TCAGCCGGTTTCCACTGAGTCGAAGTACACACTACTCAACTTGACTCACACGCTGTCAACAAATTCACGAACCAACGCTAGGTTATTTTTCTGAGTTGAGAACTGGAAAACTTAAACCTAGCCTGAATGTTAATGGATACTGTTGCTGCTGCTTGTCACATTTGACTCTATTTGCCGAGGTTTCTCTTTTTCACAGTCTTGCTGTCATTTCTTTATTCATTAACGGCTCTTATATCGTATTCATTTCTATAATGAGTTTCTCATATCCTAGCGTGTACTTTTCTGTCTAATATTTTTATTTCATTCCACGTTTGATGTTTGACCCCTTCCGTCCATATATGATCAGCCTTGCCTGATTTCATCGTTTCTCCCCTAATTATGACTTTTCGATGTTCCCTCAAGCCTTACTTTTAGGTAGTAAATAGGTAGCAAATAGTTTCACTTTTGTATTTTTTGCTCATGTCATCCTCTGTGAATGTTATTTATTTAGTATTTAGAAAGCATTTGATATAAACGTAAGAAAACAACAACGGAATTGTGAAATTTCATAAGTAGTTAATTTTTGATCGAACACTTAAAGAAGCGATATTGATCCTTTCAAGATATCAGCAGCTTCCTTCAAGACGGTTTGCTAAACAATTGGTGACAGAAGCAGTTGCGTCGTTTTTCAACGTGGTTTTTAATCAGTGTACCAATCTGAACAGAAGTTCCAGTGTTGACATTTAAAATAGCTTTACTTATATTCTATTGCCGTTAGATTAAACTGATAACTTCTTTTATTTAATATATATAATTTCTCTTTTCAGGATATAGGCATTTATGGCTCTCCACAACTTCTTATCTTTTGTAGCCATAATATTTGTCTTCTTACTATACCTCCTCGTACCTATTCTGTCATTCACTTTCACAAATTCGTTAAGTAGGTTAAGTGTAGCATAAGTGTTTAAGAATAACGAAACACAATTTTTCTCTACTGTCATTGGACCCTCTGCAAGAGTAAGGTAAGCTTAGGTAATATATCTCTTCTACTATGGCAAGAGAACCTATGTAATCAACACACACACAAACACACACACACACACACACACACACGCACACACACACACAGACGTTTAGTATACCAATAGATAGGAGCATCTTTCATGTTAGTCTCAGGCATTGAGGAGTTTTGGAATGATAAAAAGTGTATATCTTCAGACTGAATCTACTTGGTCAGTTGGTCTTCCGGTAGTTCTAAAATGTCAGGCTCACAATTTAAGCCTATTTTTTTATTGTTGTAGAATGTATAGCCTGGCCCAGAATAGCAAGCAACTGGTCTGAAATATGATGAGTCGAACTGAGTGCGGGTAGTTTGCATCCCGTGTGCGTGGAATTCTGACAGTGATGGATTGTCTTAATAATAACCAAAAAGGCGCGAAGACACGGATACGACTGCAAGAATTAGTAAAATTAGAATGATGGTATAAATAAAATAATAATATAATGTTAGGTTAGTAACCTCTGATTATCCACTTTTGAATTCCATCAAATTAACGTCGGCCATATCGAGGGTATATGGTTTCGGGGCTTTCATCGAGCATTCGATCCTCACCGTGCGATGATGCGAATAATTCTCTCTCCCTTTTATCCTGATGTCTTGTCGGTGTATATCCTAAGTTCTGCTAGGTTCACTTCGGAATTTATACTGCTGCACCTGTCAACATTTTATGGACCGATTTTGAACTTAGTGAGGCAAGCCAGAACGATGAGATTTCGGCCAGCCGGTTGACATGTGTCCTCGCCATCATCTTCCTTGAATCCTCGCTTACTCTAGAAAAGATGCTTTGACTACTGTAAAAAAGAACGTTTTCGGTCCTTGCTGCAGTCTATGATGTAGCGTTGAAGTCTGAATAATTGACACCAGTAACGACATGAAACGTAACGTTACGTCTAAAGCCCTAAGTAATACGTCTTTATGTATAAGTACCAATATAAGTAAACTTGTGTACGTTGGAGTGTATATCAGAAAGAAGTTTGCATTAATGTCGATGGGTGGGTATACAGGCTTATTTTTTTGTGGATTTGGATGTGAGTCCTTCAGTGCAATTGCTTATCATTAATAAACACTACGTATTTTGGCTATTAGCTTTCTTTTCTAATTCTTATCTCAGTCTCATCTCATCCCTGCACCAATTCCAGGAGGAATTCTTCTTTGAACAGTCTGCCATTTCCACTAGTACAGGACGGCATGGTGTGTGTGGGGGATGGAGGAGCAACAGATTTGCCCTAGATTTAAAAAAAAAAAATTAAGTAGTAATGGAAACAACCCTTGTGTATGCCTAATATACCAGGAGGCACGAATGAAATCGTAAAAAAAGTTATTTTGGAGTTTTTATTCAAATGTTCACACACACGGGCGCGCACACACGCACACAGAAAGAAAGCGAGAACTGTAAACTATGTAAAAAAAGTACATTATTTTTTATATATATATATATATATATATATATATATATATATATATATATACCTCAAGGCAGTGTAATGGTTAGCAAGCTTGTCACACTCACGCATATATATATATATATATATATATATATATATATATATATATATATATATATATATATATATATATATGCGGCAACATTCTACCTATCTATCTGTCAACTTGATCATTATCTGCCTATCTATCTCAGTTTACTGTATTTATTTCTCAATTTGCACAAACAGACACAAACATATATAAAGAAATAAAGGAATTTTTTTAATCCAATAATTTTGTATTACTTTCGAAATTATTTTTCTTTTTTCGTCAATGCTTATATTTAAGGAGAGATAATGAAATACTCTTTAAAAAATAAACTGACCATATACTCAAATATAGATATGCACTAAAAAATAACGCTCAATGTAATAAAACACACACTCACACACACACACACACACACACACATATATATATATATATATATATATATATATATATATATATATATATATATATATATATATATAAAAAGAAATATGTTGTAGTGGTTCCAACGAGAGAAAAGTATGTATATTAAAAAGAAGAGAAGAGAGGTGCCGCTAACGTTTTTTGGTTGTAATTTGGATTTATTTAGAAAAAATATGCTTTGTTTTACATAATTTTACGACACGTGTTTCTGGTCTCGCGACCGTCGTCAGGTAAAAGTGGAGATTTCTACATATTATTAAAAATAATTAATTTTTCTTCATGTTCAATGTGAAATATTCTCGATATGAGACATTCTCTGTTTGTGTGTTGGTAATCCGAATTTCTTTCTAGAATTGTCAATGAAGAGTTCTGCGTGAAGGGTCATAAAACAATTAAGGTTGGTCCAGCGAGTAGTTATCGGCATTTTATCATTTAATGTTTTAGTGACCCCTATGTGCTCTTGGATCTGTTTCCATTTTGGTGTGTTCCTGTCAGCATGCGTGTATATATGCGTGCGTATATTTCCCTCCATACATATACTGTCTTACTACGAGGAATATATATATATATATATATATATATATATATATATATATATATATATATATTGCCTTTAAATACAAATTTTCTCTGAATTTCGAAATAGACATATCTATTAAAGGCATTATTCAACTCTATAGCCAAGAGGTCCAAAGCACATCAGATCCAATGTATGTTTATATGAACCGGCCTGGTATAGTCGTGAAAAATGTCTGATATATATATATATATATATATATATGTGTGTGTGTGTGTATGTGTGTGTGTGTGTGTGTGTGTGTGTGCGTGTGTGTGTGTGTGGAGTGTATGAAATGAATAAAATTGACGTTGCAAAATCATTGCTCAAATTAACATGTAAAAATTTGAGAGAATTCGAGAACAAAAACTTGAAAAAACTTCTTTTTTTTTTTGTGATGCGTTTCGTCATTTAATTGCTAGATCATCCAGAAAAATATGCACCCAGGTTCTTGAAACATTTTTGTTTTTTTGGTAGACCCATTATCACAATGTTGGATAAAAATGTCCCAATGTTGGATAAAGCGATAAAAATATAAACAAAAAGAAAAAGAAACTAAATGAAATCGGCTAGACCATATAGCCAAACGCGAGCCCGCGCACGCACACACACACACACATATATATATCTTGCCACACCATGACAAAATAGTTTTAAGGACAAGGATTATAATTTTATTATTAAAATAATTAATAATTATAATAATTATAATTTTATTATTAAAATTGTATTATTGAATTTATATTTATATCACGTTTAAGATTTAAGATTTTACGCGCCTTTCGGCCGACACTTCGTCAGCTACAAAATCGTCGGCATTATATATTAAACGAGGAAGTTGAAAAGAAATAATTTTACCAAAAACTGAACACATAAATTATCAAGTTGGAGTAGGCAATTTGGGTAGGCAATTTATATATATAATATATATATATATATATATATATATATATATATATATATATATATATATATATATATAATTTAAACTTAAAAATTTAAATTTCACCAGCCTCTCCCATTCGTGCGAATATGTTGTTGCATCAACGTAACATGACTTTAGTCCGTTGTCATAATGGGTTAAGCAAGCCTCACGAAAAAATTTTTTTACAGTTTGGCATTAATTTTGCTAACATTGTTTTGTCATTTAAAAAAATATATATATATATATTTTATATATATATATATATATATATATATATATATATATATATATATATATATATATATATGATTAAATTGTGTTTGAAGGGTTAACAGATATTAAGTCAGTTTTGCTACGTGTCAAAGTATCAATTATGAAAAACATTTAATTTGGTATGTAAAAATTTCGAGTAATGTACGAAGCTATGTGACTACCAATTGGCAAGTATGTTCGGATATCTACGTAAATATCCATGTTTACTAAACATTCGAACTGTCACTGCACACGTTCACACGCACACACGCATATAGACACATACACACATAGATAATTGAAAGGTATCTATAGAATTTCCCCCGAAAATGTCTTTATCTAATCTATGTGGTCAGTCTTCGTTTGTGTATTATTATCATTTTCACTATCCAATGCTCTTCATAGAGTTTCTCTCTTGCTTCAAACCTCTCCCCCATACTATGTACTAACACAACTTTTGAAAATTTGACCGAGGAAAAAAATATCCTTTCTAAAGCCCAGTTTTAACCGTCTCCTTCGAAGCAGTTTCCTCATTTTGGTTTGTATATAGCGATCGTAGAAAGGTAGCCGCGCTTGGTACGTGTGCACTGGTTAAATTCTCCGGGTTTCTCGGTAGAAACACGTTTCTGTATGTTCATCTATTATTTTGTAGCCTGACATGTAGTTATTAGGTCAGTTTTGATCCGAAATTTTCACTGTATAATGTTCAATGTACGTGAGATTATGGAGAGATTAGGGAGATTATGTTGGAAAATAAACATTTATTATGTAAAAAATGTATTCCATATCAGTAGACTCTGTACATTCTCACGATCTTATCTATCTATCTATCTATCTATCTATCTATCTATCTATCTATCTATCTATCTATCTGAGCTAATTCAGTTCGACTTCCCTCTGTGTATCTATTCTCTGTGATTTTTGTCTATCTATCTATCTATCTATCTATCTATCTATCTATCTATCTATCTATCTATCTATCTATCTATCTATCTATGGCAACATAACTGATTATGTGAGAGTGTGTGTGCGGTCTGCGCCGTCCTGAATATACAACACTATACAATACCGTCCGCACGGTCCTTTTTCTTGGTGTTTATGTGCAAACTAGTAGGCACGTGAAACTTTGTAGAACTCGCGATCATCTGCTGCTGTGTACAGTTCCATTTCTAGAGTTGGAGCTATTCGCTTCTGTTCCTCTGGGCTTACGCACTCCCACCCTTGCTGATGCAAGACATCTACCAACAACTCAGCAAGCATAGAGAGGGTGACGTCTCAAAGAAAGTGGAAAACAGAGAGAGAGAGAGAGTTGAAGGAAGAAAGATAGAGAGGGGGAATCAGAGAGGGTGGGAAAAGCCCGGTGCTGAACAAGGTGATGAGTGCTAGAGTTACAGACCACATAGATCTCTGTCAATCACAAACACGACAGAAGTAAAAAAAAAAAAAAAGAAAGACCGAGAAAAGAAAGAAAGAAAGAAAAGAAAGAAAGAAAAAGTTGCTAAAATATCAAATAAACATTAATATTGAAGCGAGAACTTAACACACCAAGTTACGCAAGGAAAACGAACAATCCTGTTAAAACTACACACGGCAATACTTGCGTCCCTAAATTGCAATAACAAGAGAAGAAAAAGGCCCGATCCTGACTGGGTACCCCATGCTTGTGGCCTTTTATCTAGTTTAGATAAGCTTAATAAATAACAAGCAAAAGAACTGTTTAAATTAAAAGTCCACCTCACAAAACAAGCAGACAACTAAATAAGAATTTGTAAAGACAGACGTTAAAACACAACAAAATATTTTTACTTGTTTTTTGTTTTTCAAATTAAATCCATTTTTTTTTTGCTGTTATTATTATTGTTCTTGCTTTGCGTGTGTGGTGACTGTTTGGTCATGTGACCTCCCTCACGTTTATGTATTTGTTGGATTTTCCCTGCAAAGCATCCTTGAGATAATAAACCTAGGAATTAAAACAAAAAAAATTAAATAAACTTCGGAAAACATTTATCTCGGTTTTGGAGAAAAGGACACAGTGTTTACCAGTGGAGACATGAGTTTACATGACTGTTTTTCCGTTGCAGAATTCAAGGAGGCTTTTTCGCTGTTCGATAAGGATGGCGACGGTACCATAACAACGTCAGAGCTTGGAACCGTGATGCGCTCCCTCGGACAAAACCCCACCGAGGCTGAGCTGCAGGATATGATCAACGAGGTGGATGCCGATGGTAAGTAATTGTTTAGTTTACTTATCTTCATTTTTATTTTAGCATATGTATTTCTTCAGTTGGAATTTAGGTGTCATCACAAAACGTTCGACTACCTCTTTCTCAATTTCTCTTGTTCTCTCTCTTTCTATCTATCTATCTATCTATCTATCTATCTATCTATCTATCTATCTATCTATCTATCTATCTAAAAATTTATTTAAATACTTCAACTATACTTCGTTAATTTGTCAACATCCCCATGTGCTGATGTTCGCATTTATGTATTAAGGCCGGTAGCTACCTAAGTATATATTAGCATTATCTATCTATCTATCTATCTATCTATCTATCTATCTATCTATCTATCTATCTATCTATCTATCTATCTATTTGAGCTAGTTCAGATCCCTCTCTCTCTCTCTCGCATTTATGTATTAAGGCCGGTAGCTACCTAAGTATATATCAGCATTATCTATCTATCTATCTATCTATCTATCTATCTATCTATCTATCTATCTATCTATCTGAGCTAGTTCAGATCCCTCTCTCTCTCTCTCTCTATCTATCTATAGATAGATAGATAGATAGATAATCTATCTATCCAAATATTTGTTTAAACAGTTCAAGCATACATATCCGTTTATTTGTCAACATTCCCATGTGCAGATGCCTGCATTTATGTTTTAACGCAGGTATTATCTACATATATATATTAACATTATCAACGCTATCTATCTATCTATCTATCTATCTATCTATCTATCTATCTATCTATCTATCTCTTTCTATATTTGATCGTATTTTGAAAATATACAATATTCTATTTCTTGCAAAGGTTTACCAATGCATAGTTCCTAAAAGTACAAATAAAATTATTAATTCTTGATATTTTCTGTTGGTAACAATAATGATGATAACACCAGAACTGTTGACGAATGAAAGTTTGAGAAAATAAAATTCGTCATAAGAGAAACGGTATTTGTGGAAAGAGCGAGAAGAAAGAGAGGGATGCTGTTAGGAACCAGAAAAAAGAGAGAGATAGAGAGTGAGAGATAGAGAGAGAAAGAGAGAGAGAGGGGGGTGGGATGGATGGATGAAAGAGAAAAAGGATCAGTGGAAAAAGTGTCCTACTAATATCACTAATTTTTATTTCATATTTTTTAATGTTTCCCTAAATTAACGACTATCATCATACCGAGGGAATCTGCTTTTATAAATACTGCTATAATTTTTCAGTGAAGTAGCAACGCTGCTCAACACCCGGGAGCAAAGATACTTTTGCCACCTCCACCCCAGAACTATGTTGATTGCTTTGTGACTCATTACCCACTTAATGAAAATAACCCAAAGAACTAAAAAGCACCCAGAGAGCGTATATCTCTGCCAACATCATTGTCACTAAAACTACTTGCAAGGGAGGTAACTAGTAAAATTCATGGGTTTACGTCAAAGTTTTATTCTGTCGCTCGTAGACCATGCTTCCGACAAATTACAAAGGAAACTATTAAGAACTTTTTTTTTCCAGATATTTTGTTGACATCAACAACTGTTTTGCGATATTGTGTTAAGGGAGGTAACTCTTTGTGGATTTGCTCCAAAATTTAATTTTTTCGTTGCAAAAATGACCAAGTTTTATTGAGAACTTTTTGAGATATCTTTTTCCCATCGTTCGAATAATGTAAATCTTTAGGATAAATTTTATACTATATCTCTAGTTTTTAAATTCATGTTTTATATGTGGAGCATGTTATAAAACAGACAGGCAAAACAGTACTTAATGTTTACAAGTAATAAATGTTGTTTGTTTACCGAACGATACATTTATATAACTTGATCCTGAACAGGTAGCCGTCTAGCGTTCATGATTACAATACCTTTTCATTATGATAGGATATGAGCGTTTTCTGCATTTGTTTCTCAATTAAATTATTAAAATAAAGGTTAAGTTATTAAATTCATATCTGTCAATACTTAATATAACGAAGTCACTAAGTCATTGGACTAAGAATACAAAAAGACCTTTCACAGCTAGTAGCAGAAAAAACAATCTACCTATATATAAAATGCTGTGACTTCCGTTAGTCCGTCTGTCACAACTTCTAAAATAACCATGCATTGACTGATCGAAACCAAATTTGGGGGAGAAGTGCAGACAGGTAAGGGGGTACAAAGTACAGTTGGCTTTACTAGGATGCGGAGCTTAGTACAATAAAATTTCATTATTTTGGAAAACTTAAGTTTTATTATTTAACATACAAAGTAGACCCATTATTTCAAAAAACACTTTCATCAACAATCTTAAATACTTTGACGATTTCAACATGTGTGAGCCTGTTGTAACCCCCCCCCAACCCCCAAAAAAAAACAAACAATCTAGTATATATTATAAAAGAAAAGCTGATTGCCTGTCCGTTACACACTGTCGGTCTGTGACTTTGCATTCGTGTATGTAACGTATATGCATGTGTCTGTATTGTGTATGAGTGACTTACATGTGCATGTACCATTTAATGTACATACAATCACACGCACATACACAAAAACACACACCGGTTGACCGATTTCAAAATAAGACAATCGAATAATACTCTCTTCGCACTCAGTCTGGACAAACCCAACCCTACGCTGTACAAAAAAAGTTGGGTCAAAATATGCGCTAATATTTTAAACACTAAAAACAAATAATTATAAAAAAAATGTTCAACTTTTCACAAAATGTTCGGTAATAAATAAAATTATTTTATAAACCATTTTTTTAATAGAAATATTTTTGATCTGTTATTGTATTAAAATATACATACAAATACGTAAACATACATACACAGAATATGAATACAATTTAAATGAGATATCCCCAGCTATATATATATATATATATATATATATATATATATATATATATATATATATATATATATCCTGTAGCATACCTACAGGCGATAATGGGTATGTCCCAATTCACATAAATACAGTAGTAAATACTGTATGTTGGTCTGCAGTTGCAGATTCATTGTGGAATTCACTTGACTCACTTCAATTGACTACTTCTACGCGCAGCTGGCGAATCTTATATGTGTTATTCTTGTCCTAAGTATTATTGTTAATTACCAACCTTCGTTTGATGATTCTATTCAGTAACTTTCCTAGGTTACAACGATATATATATATATATATATATATATATATATATATATATATATATATATATATATATATATGCCTGTGTGTGTATTTTGATAATAAATACATTTTTCCTCATTCTCTTTTAGCTATGTTTTTTATCATTAATACTCATTGTGTGATACTTTGCTTCTCTCAAGCAGCTATCCATACGGTATCTACTTTGGAATGGGGTGTTATCAAGTTGTACCACATATTCTACCTATCGAAGTCTGTACTTGTGTATTTGTGCTTCGATGCTGCGTGTATTGCTCTTTCCAAAACCTCGGTGTCTGGGGCATAGCGCCACGCAGTGGTTACCTAAGATCGTTATAAGGCAGCGCTGATGAAAACATTCCAGCTGCTCCAGATATTTCCTATAGATAACTTGTCTCACACGGGTATGCATAACTTGTTAAAACGCAAGCTTTGTAAACATCTGTCACCATTTTCTTCTTCAAGCCCTTCTGAGACCAAACACGGTCCTTTAGAACAGAGAAAACGTCAGTGACAATAACAGTTCATTATACTACGTAGGTATGTCAGTTTCTCATCAACTTTCAAATTCTCCCCGTCAACGTGAATGGAACGTTCCAAGTAAGGCATGACTGGTGTTGGTTGGAACATTACGACTGTTTTGTTTAGATCAAAAGATTTGCAAGATTGTGACATCCTGTCCATAAAGCGCTGTATGTCAGTAGTGGTATGCGAGACCAGGTCATCGTCATCAGCATAGAGAAGATCACAGACAAGTGTCAGCAGAATTTTCGTTTTAGCTTCAAAGCGGCGTATATTAAAGAGTTTGCCAGTACTACGGTATCTAACATAGATACCTTAGTTGCAATCATGGAATGCATCAATCAGTAGAAAGATAAAGAAAATGGCGAACAGAGCGGGAGTTACAAGATTACCTTGCTTGACACCATTTTCTACATTTAATGCTTCTGATATGACATCACAAATATTAACAGACGCCACCATGTTGTCATGTAAAGACTTGACCAATTTCATGAAATGCTGGGATCAGGCATATTTTCAGAGAGATTTCCTATTGACTGTATCAAAGACCTTTCTGTGATCAAATCGACAAAAACCTAGCACAAACTCTGACGATATTGAATGTACTTCTCTGGAATCTCTATGAATATATATATATATATATATATATATATATATATATATATATTAGGAACTTGAATAAGTTCTCGCTGTTTTTCAACACAAGACATTCCCAAATCTGTGTGTGTAGTTTCAGTTGGAAACGCATCTGTAAGGAAGTACTATAAGCAAGCTTGAAATTCAGTGTATGTCATTTCGTCGAAGTGTAAACAAATTTGTTTATTCATAGCGTTACACATGTAGGATTTCGTGCCAAGGAAAGTGTATTTGCGGGGAATTTTAATGCACTACTCTATTCAAAACAAATCTGCAGCTGAAGCGCACAGAATTCTTGTTGAGGCTTACGGCGACTATGCTTTATCGGAAACAACAAGCAGATTGGTTTAGATGCTTCAAAAATAATGATTTTGATGTTGAAGGTAAAGAACGCTCTGCCAGCGAAAAAGTTTGAAGACGAAGAATTGGAAGCATTACTTCATGAAGATTCATGTCAGGCGCAAACTGAACTTGCAGAATCATTAGGAGTTGATCACACACCAGTTTCGAAACGTTTGAAAGCATTAGGAATGATTCAAGAGCAATTATATTGGGTGCCGTATGAGTTGAAACCGAGTGACATCGAACGGTGTCATGTTACGTGTGAACAGCTGCTTCAACGACAGAAAAGGAAAGTTTTTTGCATCGTATCGCGACCGGCAATAAAAAGTGGATACACTACGATAACCCTAAGCGTAGAAGATCATGAGCTAAGCTCGGCCATGCATCAACATCAACGGCAAAGCCGAATAGCCATGGTTCGAAGCTTCTGCTCTGCATTTGGTGGGATCAGCTAAGTGTAGTTTATTATGAGCTGCCCAAACCGATCGAAACCATCACGGTAGATCACTATCAACTACAATTGATGCATTTTAGCCGAGTACTGAAAAAAGGCCGCTATACGAGCAGAGACACGACAAAGTGATTTTGCAACATAACAACGCTAGGCCACGTGTTGGAAAATGGGTGAAAACCTACTTGGAAACACTTAAATGGGAAGTCCTACCACATCTACTGTATTCACCAGATATTGCCTCGTACGATTATCACTTGTTCCGATCGATGGCACATGGCCTGGCTGAGCAGCACTTTCATTCTTATGAAGATGCAAAAAAAAAAAAAAAAAAAATGTGTCGACTCGTGGTTAGCCTCAAAAGACTTTTCCGAAGTGGAATTCAAATGTTGCCAGAAAGATGGGAAAAAGTAGTGGTTAGCGATGGGCAATACTTTCAGTGACATATTTTTTTTACTAATTGTTGTAAATAA